CTGCAACTTCTTCCCATGTACTCTCTGATAGGTTCTGGCACTTCTCCCTCAGAATTACACCTGAACTATCTCCTTCTGGTGTCTGGCCACCTGAACTATGTTTTGTGGTTTTTTTTTTCATCTAAAACTTTTCCTTCTTTCTGAGACGATCTGGTGACCAATGTTTCTAGTCAGCCTTCTTGTCCCCTCACTCAGAATCCAGATCCATTCTAGTGAATGTTTGAAAGTATTTTTAAAAATAACTCTCATCTTAAGTTCTATTTTTAGTTGAAGAAAGCTCTTTATTTTGCAATAATTTTTAAGGCCATATTTATTTCTTAAGCAAACACAAATAGTCTTTAGTATTTCCAAGTAAAGTTATTATTGGCTTTTATGTCCTATTTTCAGGGCGTAATAATCAGTGTTTGCTAGTCATCTGTAGTAACGAATAACCTCAAAACATCGGTGGCTTATCATAGCAAAATTTATGTCTCATTTATGTTATTATACATATTGGCAGTAGGTCAGCTGAAACTCTGCTGCATGTGTGTCCTTCGTTCTGGGATCTAAACTGAAGGATCAGCCCTTATCGTGGGACATGTTATTGTCTTGCCAGAGAGAAAAGAGCTTTGACAGAACCACATGTGAATTCTGCTTAGATATGGCACATGTCATTTTCAAAACAATTCAAGTGACCAAGCCTGGTTTTAGTGGGGGCAGAGAAGCATCGTTTTCTCATAGGGTGCAGAGTGATTTATTGGGAACAAGATTGCATATAAAACAATCAAAATCAAAAGAATGCAGCATAGTAGTCACATCCGGTTATCTAATCTTGGGTTTTCAGCTTGTTGCCTACTTGTCATTTTCCAAATTATTTCCTGTGTCTTGGCTTCCATCCCAGTATAATAATATTCTAGATCAGCAGGTCATTAGCAGGCCAACTCTTTCTCAACACTCAGTTGAGATCCATCGACATAGATGATCTCCAATGATCTCTTAGTTTTTTAATTTTTATGACTGACATTTTAAAAGTAAAGTTGACCTTTTTCCTTGGATTTTTTTGTGAAAACAATTTTTTACATGTGAAGAAATTATTTTTAAAGAAAAAATTTTAATTCCACCTTCTTTATACAACTAGTATCTTCACTTTTTTCAATGTTCCTTATAGTTCCTCTACATTAGTACTACATGATAAACATATTGTCTCATGGCATTTTCCTAGTCTTTCTTCCTTCTTATTTAAGCTGAGATGCAGTAGCCCACACTGTTTTCTCCCGTGTCTTGTTCTCTCTTGTACTTTCTTCAGCAAATCCCCAACTATGTCACCTTCTCATCCAAAAGATTTAGCAGTACAGTTTTCAGTGACATAAATATGCTGTCTTGTGCCATTAAAAACTTCAAGGTCTAAAATCTCCACTGTACCTGCCATGCCGCCACTCTACCTTAGATTTATCTCAGGACAGCTCCATTTTCCATTCCCCTGATGACCTATTCCAAACATTAAACATCTCAGACCCCACGCTCTACTGTGCTTCTCAACCTCTGCAGGTAGCCTTGTGTTCACCAAGCAAAGATCATCTGCTTGCCGCCTTCTAACTTACTTGTGTCTGTCTCATTCACATTCGGTTTTTTCTAGGTACAGAGGAAAAGTGGCCGCTATGCTGTGGAAGACCGCCTTTTCTCCCGTATTCCTAACTGTCTTCTGCTATTGCCTAAGAACCTGAGTACACCTCCTCCTCTGCTCTCATCTGTCTTCAGTGTGCTTCCTCTGCTTTTTCTTCAACGTCCGTTTATAAATTTGTATATCTCACCTATCTTAAATTCGGTAAATCAAATAAACTTTTCTTTGACTCTCCTTAAACCCCTTTCTAGTTAATGTAGAAACTTGGAAAAATGAAAATAGCTACTGGTTTTAATACTGTAGATTTAGCACGGCCTTTTCTTAAAAGCTTTATCCCTTTCCTTTTGTGTCACTTCTTTCCAGAATCTCTTATATCTCTTAGCATTTTTTCCCATTGTAGGGTTTCCTCTTCCTTTAAATGTTTGATTTATACCTTTAGTCCAGTCCTCTTTGAACTTTTTACTCTCATGATTTCACATGACACATGTATAGATAACGTCTAAAATTTCTCTCTTTCGTGCTTTGTAATCCAGTTGCCCATTGGACATTTCTGCTGTGTGTCTCACCCACAGACAGGTACCTCTAACAGTATATTTAAAATTCACACATATTCCTCTTTGGACATATTTGTCCTCCTGTATTCTCCATTTCTTGTCATGGCACAGCTATTCACTTTGTCACTCAAGCTAGAAATATGGATGTCACTCTTAACTGCTCCTCTGTGCTCTTCTCTCACATGTGGCGAACTGCCAAAATTTCCAAATTGTAATCTCTTCTCCATCTTTGTTATCACTGTCTTGGGTGAAGCTCCTGCCTTCATCTGAATTGTTACAATATTTGTTTTTTTAGAGATATGGTCTCACTCTGTTGCCCATGCTGGAGTGCAGTGGTGTTATCATAGCTCACTGCTGTCTTGAACTCCTGGGCAAAAGTGATCCTCCCACCTCAGCCTCCTGAGTTAGCTGGGACTATAGACGTGCGCTACCATGCCTGGCTAGTTTTTTAATTTATTTTTTAATTTTTGATAAAGACAGGGTCTTGCTTCGTTGCCCAGACTGGTCTCAAACTCCTGAGCTCAAGTGATCCTCCTACAGTGCTAGAATTATAGACATTAAGCCACTGTACCCAGCTGGTTATTACAGTATTTTTATAACAGGTTCTTAGCTCAATTTTGTTGCTTTTAGCAAATTTGTCCTCCAAATAGCTACCAAAGCAATTCCAAATGCAAATATGTCAGTCCTTAGCTCAGACCGTGGTTGATAGTTATGGCCCTCTGTGATCTGGCTCTTAGCTAGTTTAGTAGCCCAATTGCTCCTCACTATTGCCCACGCCTTTGTGCTGCAGCATCACTGCTTGTAATTCTTCAAATGTGCTATGCCTGTACTCCCCTCTGTATTGTTGTATGACACTTATAATCCCTTACCCTAAAATCGAAAGCCTACTACACTTCTCTATCTTCTGATCATCCTTTAAGACCCCATGGGAGTCACTCATTTCCTGGTGTGTTCTCCTTTGCCCATCTTTATGTATAAAATCCTAGAGCAATGTCTGACATATAAGTGCTATATACATGTTGGCTGCTAGTATTCTTACCACATTGTAATTTGATGGCTATGTAGTAGTTGTATATAGTAGCATACATAGCATACATAGTTGTATGTAGTAGTCTATGTAGTAGCAACCATCAAGTTGCTATATGTATTTCAATTGTCCCCTTATAGGGACAATTGTAAACTTGTAACTTTCAGATGATACCTTGTTATAGGTTTTCTCATACTTAGGATCATTTTTTTGGCATATGATAGCTGAATCAGAGTGCATTTTTATGGCTCTTATAATATGTTTGTCCAGAAAGGTTACTGGCTGTGTCTGATGATGTACCGTTATTTTTCTGTAATCCCGTTAATCAAGTTGAGTGTTTCCCCCCAATTTAATATCTATAAAGCAATATCTTTGATACTTTAACTTGTATTTCTTTAACAAGTCAAATAGAACATTTTACCCATTTCATATGTATGTTTGTGTGAACTGGCTATTTGTCCTCTGGGGCCTTGAAAATGGTCTTATATGTTTGGATAGGCTCTTAGTATATTTGAGATATAATTCCTTCGTCCTATTTGTGTGGATTTTCACCAGCATTTAACTTTAATGTTAATTGTTAAGATGGTTTAAAATTGTATATAATCAAATATATGTTTTCATTTCTTAATAGCTTCACTTGCTGTATAGCTTAGAAATGTGTCCTTCTAAATGTATCCTTAGAAATGTATCTTTCATGATCTGCAGTCCATCTTTTTGTCTTGATTTATGAATTTTTTAAATTCCTAAACTTTTAAAATTTGCCTGGAAATCATTTTTTATATGTAATAATGTCTTTCCCAATTATAGAATACATAACCACATTTTAAAAATCTTTTCTTCCTTACTGGTTGGGATGCTTATGTGATGTGATAAAGCCTTTGTAAAATGTCTATTTCTGGTCTCTTGTTAAACTGCAATACATATTTTTTTGTGCCCAGTGTATCTGAAGGAGATGGCATACTTTGTCCAGTAACAACACATTATAATCATTGCTTGCATATTTTTCTCTCTGGAGAGATATGGGTAGATACATCATTCACATATTATTCTAATTTCCTTGCTTATACTACGTCCTCAGTATATATTTCTGAATAGTTGAATAGTGGTGCACAAAATGGACTAACTATAAGGTAATAATACTTAACACATTGGGTAGGTATGTAACTGGATTCCTGTTTAACTTGACAGTTGGTTTCCATTTAATAGTATTAGGCATTTTTCATAATGAAGTTGACAAGGTATTCTCTTTTTGATTCAGGTAGTGCCCCTCAAAAAGTGGTTCATGGGAAAAGAATTTCCCTTGTTACCCTTGAAGATACATTTATCTTTTTGCTGATTTCTGAACCAGCCGTGAAATGCCTCTATGCCTTAAATTATACAATTCCCTCTGCTTGTTGTGCCCTGTGTTTTTCCTGACAGACAGCTCTTATGCATCTCTTGAAATCTAGCTGAAGTTAATGTTTTGTGTGTGATTTATTTTACTCTATGGCCTATATCACAGTTTCTTTCTTTAGATGTAAAAAAGGAGTAAGAATACTTGCCTCAGGGTTGTGGTCAAGATCAAATGTTTAACTACCTGAAAATACTTAGTTTCTGATATCTAATAAGTACTCAGTGAATGTTAGCTGTTGCTCTTGTTATTGTTCATTTTCTACGTGTCAGACTCCATTAGAAGAAGTCTTAGATTTTTTTTTTTTAGTAGAGGATTTTTCCCCCTAAATTAATGAATGTTCCATTCATTCCTGGGTCTTCATCATTGATTTAATGCTCCTTATTCTGATATTTTAAATACTTCATCTTAAATTTTTTAACATTTTAGAGTGAAGATTTGTTAAATGAAATAAAACAACTTAAAGAAGAAATAAAGAAAAAAGATGAAAAGATCCAACTATTAGAACATCAGCTTGTGAGTATTATAGTATAATATGTCAAATGAAAGCTTTTCAAATCAGGCTATATATATTTTTTATAAAACTCTGAGCTTAAATTAGAGTTTGGCTTTATTTTTGACTTTCAAAGTTATACTTTTGTATTTTAAGATTTTATGCATTTTAACAAAAGTATGTGATTTAACTTTCAGTGTAAATATTAAGTATTCAATGTGAAAAATTCTTTGTTGATCCATTTTAAGTGGCCTCTGTTGGGGTATTGAAAATCCACCAATTTACATTCATTTTATTGATGCAGGGTAAATGGCTTTCCTTCAGATATGTGTTAAGAAACGAGTACTGGTCTGTTGAGAACAGGATATTTTCTCTCTCTGAACAGAATGAGACTGGGTGTTCAGTCTTTGGTAGCTACAGAGCTCTCAGATTGAAGGATATCCCCAGAAAATGTTTCTTCCCTATGGGTGATATTGAATGATCCCTCAGAGTCATGTTTGAATCGTTATAATTTTATAATTGTTATAATTTCAGATGTTAGCCTCATATGAAAATATGAATGATATCTTAAATTTAATTATAATTTAGTTCATAGTAATATAAAAGGCCATGATAAAAAGAAAATAATGGCCTAAAAGTCATAACAGTAAAAAGAAAATCTTTGTTGGAAGTCAGAAGCATATCTTGGTCTAGCAAGGCAATTTAGCAGTATGAAATATTAATCTCACCCAGAATATAAAAGATATACTGAACTCTGAGCCACTGAGGTCAGATCAGAGATTCAGCTCATAAATAAATAGTTAGAACAGAAAGATCAGATATTATGATTAAAGTTACAAAGAAAATTTATGAATCTGAATAAAGAATACCTAATACTGCAAATTGAGATCCTACAAAAGTAAAAAACTGAAAAGGAAAATAATAAGACCTAATGTTTGTGTTTCACAGCTAAATACAAGAACCCAGCCAGCTTTCAGGGAAAAGAAAAAAGATAGCAATGGGAAATTAAGTAAGCTTCAATTTCTGCGAAAATATATTACAGAGCACAAGATACTGTGCCTTGTGCACTTTAGAAAAAAGGCAATGAACCTCATATTTTATGTCTACACAAATTTTTATTTATATACAAAGGCAGTGTCTCTAATGTCTTGAAAAATATGCCATCCAATTAACAATGCATTCCAAATACTTGAAAGAGAAATTAAGAAATGACTTAAGAATAAGGAAGTAAAGATTAAAATGAATGAGTGGTGAAATGGAAATGATCTTTAGAGAAACTAAGTGGGATAAACTTGTAGACCATTAGTTGGAGAAAACTTAATGGTCGTTATTTTATCTAATATAAATTATATGTTATTCAAATGTTAGAATTTATTTGAATTTATAAATCTTTAATTTTTCTGAAATTAAAAAAATTTAATTTAAAAATTTTAAGTCACTATTAGTTTTAGAAAATATTTAGATTAAATTAAATAAGTTTGAGGAACAATATAGAAATATGATGAAGGAAGTCAGAAGTACTGAATTTTTTATCTTCTACAAATCAATATCCCAAGTTATTTTTTTAATATACTTACATGAGTTATGACACTGTTTGGGAAATGCTTTAAGATAACTATTAATAACTCGTAATAATGTATCTTGTAATAAACAAAAGTAAATAAAGACAAAGTAGAAAAATACCAAGGAAACCCTAAAAACAGCAAAACTAAAGTAACAGAAATTAAATCAAATGTAGCAGATATAATAGTAATTTTAAATTGTCCTATGTCTTTGGGGAGAGTTTTCTTGAGGATTTAAAGCAAAATCCAGTAACTTGCCTTGCATAAAGGAAATTTAGCTAAGGTGAAATGGCCTAATGAGGCTGAACATAAAAGATTGGAGGACACAGAATAAAATTATTCTCATAAAAAATTCTGAGATTTCAATATTAAAATTAGAAAAGTAAATTTAAGGCTGAAAGAATTATGAAAAGAGGTCACTTTATATTGATATGTGATTAAATAATTAAAAATCAATCTTTTTGTGCTGAAAAGTTTTAACAAAGTGTTCTTTTAACCCCCACGTGCATCTTCAAAAAATAAAAACAGTCTCTTCATAGATGAAATGATATTATCATCTTTAAGGAATTAATAGTAATTTCTTAATATATTCTAATATCTTGTCCATATTTAGATCTCCCCAGTTGTTCCCAAAACATCCTGAACATTTGATTTGTGTAAACTAGAATCCAGTCTAGATCATGCATGACATATGGTTATGTCCCTTTAGTCTCTTTTAATTTATTGATGAGACTGAGCCAGTTGTCCTGAACAATATCTCACCTTGAAAATAATTTTTAGAAAGATTAAAAAATATCAAAGAGAATCCTAAAGAAAGAAAACAAGAAAATTGAAAGCATTAATCTTTAGCAATATACATAATGTTGAAATTCACTGTATTTGGTATATTTAACCTATAAATCATAATTATTGTATAGGAGCCTGTCTCCTGTTTTTCTGTGTGCTGTGCATAGTTTTCCTACAGATCTCTTGGGAAGCCATACATTCAGCTAGAAATTCCCTCTGTAAGCACATCAGAATCATAGCCCATTTACATACAGATTGCAGGGGAATTGCAGCCTGTACCAAGAGAACTTTGTGAAACTTACTTGAAAGTTCCTATTCTTGAATCTAGAGACTAACATTTACTATGGTTTTCTCAACATAAATTTAGAAGATTAGAGAAGATTCACTACTTGTCATTGCAAACAGTGATCCTCTGGGAAGCAAATGTCTTATTAAATGAGATTTAAGGGGCCATGTGTTCTTTTTGTAGTATGGAATTAGAAGTCATTCAGAAAGATTCTAATAGTATGAAGTTTAGTTATGGAACTCTAGAAAGTCACTTGTTCAAATCAAGAGAATTTAAAAAGGATATAAACCACTGAAAGTAGGGATAAGTAACAGCATTTTTCACATTTATCAAAATTAAAATTGCCTTTCTATAATATTTTAATTTTTAAATTTTTTTCTTTCTTTAAATCTTTAAACTACTTTCTTAAAATTAGAAAAAGTTGTCAGAAGAACCATAGACCAGGAATTAGGTTCTTGTCTCCAGTATTAATTAGCTGAATGACATTGGCTGTTTCCATCACACCTCTGTAGGGCTTTCTTTATCCAAAATGTAGAGATTTTTCTAGGTGATTTGAAAGTTCCTTTTCATTTCTAACCTTTTATTTTTTTGAAAAAGATTTAAAAAAATCTTTTTTAAAAAAATACATTCACCTCTAACCTGTTTGCATGCAAATTTTCATAAAAATAAAGTGACACTATAAAGTGTTAAATTCATGTTTTATATGTGAAATGTGCTGATACCAAATCAGATTGCAGTGATCTAAGAAATTAACTGAAAAGTATAGAGGTTTGACTATTCAAACGTTATTCCAAAATGCTAAGAATGCCTGTTTATCTTCATCTCAATATACTAGTTAAATAATAGTTAATTTAGATACATTTGCTTATTGAATCCTCAGAATAATCCTGTGAAATTTCTAGTGTAGAATTTTCTTTATGGAGACATAGAAAGTGGAACTCGGGTTAAGTGGGCTATCAGTGAAGTATATTTGAAAATCATGACAGATCCAGGTTCAAATCCTGACTTAAGATTTAATAGCCATGTTCTCTGAGGGAAGTTTTGTAATCTCTCCTATAAGTGGAAATGATAAAAATAATACTGACCATATAGGGTTGCAATAGTTGTTAATAAATTAACTACATATATAAACTACCTAATTCCAGGCCCTTGGCTGCATGATAAATAGTAATTCTTATTTAATGACTAGCTGTAAATCAATGCATATCTTATGATGTTTTAAGTGTCAAGTAAAAGTCCCTAACTAAAAATGACTTAAGAAATAAGAACAGTTGTAAACTCAAGGAACAAGAAAGTGTATAGGTCCTATCCATTTCCATGGTTACTTATTGGTCATTTGGTTAATGGATGAAGTTCTAGGTTGACTTTTCTTGAATCCTCTTGGCTGTCCCTTCATGGTCATAGATGTCTGCTGTAGCTCTATGTGTCACATTCTCACACAACAATACCCAAGGGTGGGTAAAGGGCCTATTTATTACTTGTAGTGCCTGTTTTTAAAATTAAGGAACACCTTCTCAGAAGGACCCTAGACTTTCCTTTGTGTTTTATTGGCTAGATTCGGGTTACTTGTCCCTTACTAAGCATAGGTGCACTAGGATTAACCAGATTGGTTTAGACTAATCAAGATCTATCTCCTTGGAGTAGAAGATTAGGACACATTTCCCTGAATATGGGACTACATAGAAGGCAAGTATCTAAATACAGTCGATCAGCAATAAAGAAAGCAGATGAACCAGGCATGGTGGCTCACAGCTGTAATCCTAGCACTTTGACAGACTGAGGGAGGAGGATCGCTTGAGGCCAGGAGATGGAGACCAGCCTGAGCAACATGGTGAGATCCTGTCTCTCCAAAAATAAAAATTAAAAAATCAGCTGGGCATAGTAGTGTTCTGCTGTAGTCCCAGCCACTCGGGAGGCTGAGGTGTGAGGATCACTTGAGCCCAGGAGTTCGAGGTTACAGTAAGCTGCGATTGTGCCACTGCACCTTCAGCCTGGGCAACAGAGTGAGACCCTATCTCTAAAAAAAAAAAAAAAAAAAAAAAGAAAGATGGTAGTCATTGAGTCATTGTATATATGTTGAAGTGTTATTAAAAACTAGATTTTCCAAATCATGGAAAATTCATATATTTGCCAAATATTATTTTTCAATATGTGTTAACATATTGACCACAGAAAGAAAATTGCAATCAGTCCCCCTATTTAGGATTTTTCAATTGTGTGATGGTGCAAAAGCTATATGCATTCAGTGTACTCCTCCATTTACAATGAGATTGTGTCCCAATAAAGCCATCATCAATTGAAAATATTATAAATTGAAAGTGTGTTTGCAATGATATTATGATGGATTTTTCAGGATGTAACCCCTTCATAAATTGAGAAGCACCTGTATTTCTGGACTTGCCATGGTCAGGATAGAACAGTAATGTGCTTGCCTTATAAGTGTTTTTTCATTTTCTCTTCTTTATATATCTCCAGTATATGTGAAAAGTTAAGTCCTGTTACACTGAATTCCAAGAGGGTTTAAGTTGATTTGCTTATATATTGAATTTTTAGTTTCAGTAACTATCCTATTTCTTAGGAATGGGAAATATATCTGTACTATAGAAATTTTTGTTTTTAACTAGATTTTATTTTGTATAAGGCAATTGGAATGATATAATTGCAATTAAGAAAAAATTGATAATTGGTAAATATTTTCAAAATAGAAACTTACTATTTTAACTTGATGCAACAATCAATAATTTTTTAGGTTTTCCTATAAGAAAGTATATTTATCTCCAGTGGGGTTGTTTAACAAACAGTATGGTTATTTTCCAGATTCACACTAAGGTGGAATTCTCTTTATCAGTCTTTTCATTCTTTTTTTGAATTTGATGATTGTGTGAGAGACCAGAGTTTATACAAGTTTATTACTTTGTGTTGTATAAATGAGTGTGTTTTGAGTGGGATCATGTGTACAGAATTCATTTGTGAACTGAGATGGTTATAGGGATCTTGTATATGTCCAGAATTAAACCAATGTAAAAATTTGTGTTTTTGTGTAGGCAAGTCAGTATAACAGCCACCAAAAATCTAAAGAAGAAAAATGCACATATGCTGATAAATATACCCAAACACCCTGGAGAAGAATTCCTGTGAGTAACATGTACTCTTAACCTCCTCTCCTGTCTTTTGCTATTTTGATGTTGTATTCCACGCTTTTTCCTCTAATCTCTAATAATTTTGAATCTGTCATGGCTGTTAATTTTTTCCTTAGGTAGGTTGTTTTTTGCTTGTCTCTTAGGTATTTATGTGCTTTCTAAAGCTTCTCTTGTGTGTCTTCTATAAGCGAATGTGCGTTTAATAGCTTTTCCATTCTGCACACCGTAGCTCATTTTGAGTGTCTACTCTTCTCTCATTGCATGTATTTATGAGAGAATATTTCCACATGTCTAAAAGGAAGCAGGAGTCCAGTATGCAGTCACCCCACTTCAGCAGCATATGATACTTTGAAAATATATGATGTAGCATATTCCCTTTCTTTGGGAAACTTTTCAAATACGTTTTATTATCACAATTACTCAAATGTTGAGGATATTAGGGAATATAAATGCATAAAGATATACATAATAAAGGCTATGATTTAGGCAGAACTAGGGAATGGTTTCTTCTAAACAGTAGAAAATAACCTTGTATTCCATGCTTGTTTGTTGTTTTTCCAAAATGTTATATCTCAAAACATATTTAGTGCTAAAAATACCCTAATGATCATTTAATCTGAACTCCGTTCGGGATGTGCCTGAGCCAGAGAATCATCATATGGCCATCAGCCAACATTATCCTATTGTATGGGGCCAGTTAATAGACATTTCTTATTAAGAAAATGCCTAATAAGCCAGCCTTGACTCTTCTTTTGCTTTGTATTTAGAAGTGGATTCCTAGTAACGCAAATGAACAGGGAAATATTGTGAGTAATGCAATGAACAATCCAATTTGTAAAACTTAGCTATAGGCCTTTAAGGTTTATAAAATAGTTATTTTGTTTCTATTCATCTAACAAGTCATTAATTTTTGTGTGCTCTGTATAAGGTACAATGGTATAAATTAATTTATTCAACAAAAATTTGATGATCTTCTCTCATCCGAGATTTTAGGCTCTCTAAGTAGCAATGGGGAATTGGGGAACGAAATACACAGATAAATAATGATTTCTCTGTTTATAAGTACTTATTAAAGGAACTAAGTCTATAAGGTTCAAAGGATTGAGAAAGTCTAGTTGCAAGAATCAAGGGGCTTGGTGAAGAAGGCGAAGGTTGTGTTTAAATCACAGAAAGCAAAAAATGCCAATAGAGATGGTATTTTATTTCTTTAATGTCAAAGGATGTAGAAACTCATCTGTTTGGTGACAGAAAATAAAAGATTGTGCCCCTTGATTCTAAATGGAGGTTTGGGCTTTCCAGGTTTCTCTAGTTTCCCCACAGGGATAGATTGGTGATTCCATTAAGCATGAGAAGTTCCATTTTGCCATCCTCATGAAAGTCTTTATACCTGCTCTGACACCCTCAACCTCATTGTTCTGGAAACTGGGTATTAGTCAGCCTCCTCACAAGAGAAAAGTAACTAGTGCAGAACAATCTCATTACATTCTGGAATATATTCCCGACTTAGTTTTACTATGATCTTGGGTTAAGTGAAGGTCAGTATTCTAGGCTTGTACCCTAATAGACCCAAACTTTAGCTTTCCCTGTTATCTATTACTATAGGAATCACCTGGCTAAATATAATATCTTTGTTTTGTAGATAAGAAAATCCAGGGGGATTAAATGGAATATTAAAGGTTCCATAATTAATAAATGGCTGAGCTGTTACTAAAACTTAGGACTTCTGACTCCTAGTTCAAGGTTCTCTCCCCCAAAAGCACACTGAGGCGTCTTGGAGGATGAGAGGTTTTGTAGATTAAAACAGGAAGATATCTTTGGCAAAAGAAACAGTACAAGTTAAGGCAAAGAAGTGGAACATACAATTAGGCAATAGTAAGTCCATGATTTTGGCTGGAACACTGATATATGTTTAGGGAAATAGTGAAAGTTAGTGTTAAAGCTCATTTTAAGGTAGAATTGAACATTTTAATCTAAGAATTACTAGAAAAGTAGGTTTATGGAGTTGCATTTATTTAGTTAAAAAGTTTTATATTATTTACTTAGTTAAATAACAACTATTAAATATTAAATACTGAGCTTTTTCTGATTTTTTTTCCGTTCTTTGGACTTAATGGGATTTACTTGAAATACATTATTTTGGAAACCATTTACTAAAATTACAATGATTTTCTTTTCTCTTTAAAAAAGTTACACTTTACTCTAAATGTTATTTTTTTAGCAGGAACCCAACATACTTAAACAAGATTTTGATCATGGGATGTGGAGATGCAGTGTGATTCTTCTTTGGCAACATTTAGTTTGTTAGGCAGTAATTTGGGGAATTAAAGCATGTTATATTAAATATCTCCACACTCAGTGTAAGTAAAAAATTTTTTAATCTGCCTAAGCCTTTGAGAAGGTTGAAAGTTATAATCTGAGTCTTGTTCTTTACCATTTCTTGTAATATTTTAGGAATCTAAATAATCCTCCTGACACTGTCTCAATCAGTGGAAGTTTGTATAATAGAATTCACCTCAGATATTTGTGAGGCAAATGTGGGCATTTCCTCTGAACATTTCCTAGACATGAAGGAAGAAATCTGGCTGCAGTGGGAAAGAATGGTGGAGGAAAGTGGATTACTGTCTGTAGAACTTGTTGACAGCCATTTAGGAGGTGGAAAGAAATATGAAAAAAATAAGATAAACACTTCAGTCAGAACCTGCCAGAGGAAGGACAGTGGTTGGCTACCAACAGCATCAGAGCAATGGAAATTTGAATGTATCGAGCCTAATGTAAATTTTCTTCATAGATTTGTCCAAAGGGATTTTGGTATCACCTAATGGCTACAAATAAGATCTTTGATGTAGAGAACCAACAGGAAGTAAGAGGAAGAAACAAATTATTAGAACAGGGGAAAGGAAGAAAAACAGATATTCACTTACTCATTCAGCAGATATTCATGTGCATACTTCATGGCAGGCACTGTCTTAATCTGGAAACGTAAATGTGAAAAAGATGGAGTCCTAGCCCTCAAAATGTTTACAGAAACCTCCATTTGGCGTAAATGGTGTCAGTCTCACTCTTTTCCTGCAAATGAAGAAGCTAAGACTAAGAAGTAGTTTGTGCAAGTACTTACACAACTTGTATACAGCAGTCTTACAGAGAAGACATGTTTTCAAACTTGTAGGTAATGTCTTCGTTGCCTCCCTTTTGAATGGCTGCAGGAGGTGAGGTGGCTGGAAGGAATAGAGAGGAGAAAAGGGTCACAACTGTGGGAAGGGAGGACAGAGGCTTGATCTCAGTGGGAGATCATGATAAGGACCACTTCCCTGAGAGAAAAGAACAGGTGCCCAGTTTGCACTGTGTGGTAGAGGTCTCAGCAGACCATTGTGGTAATCCATAGAAACATACTTGTATTTAAAATTCCTGGGAGAAAAATATTCATAGTTGAAAGTGTCCATAGTTGAAATGTCCATAGTTTAAGTAAGAATGTAAAAAAAAAAAAAATCCTCCACAACCAAATTAGATTCATTGCAATGTTGAAGAAATCTATTGACTTAATAAATTACATAAATTATATAAATAATTTTCTCAATAGAAAGAATGATAAAATTCAATACCTCTTCTTAAAGGAATGAAAAAAAGTAGAAAACTAAGGATAATTCATAAATGACATGGCGCCTAAAAATATATGCTTAAAAGAGAAAAACTCTAAAATGGCTTTTTCCTTGATCTGTCCCTTTTTATAGAGAGGTAACCATGTATTCATTCTATAGCAAATCTATTTGCTATAGAATGAATATTTAAATTTAAGGAAAATTTAAATTATTCAAATCACACTAACTACTGACAACCATTGTTATTTCATATATGATTTTCCAGCCTTTTTTTGTGGTGTATGTATGTGGGTGCGCGCACAGATCTATCATCTCTATTGAGGTGGAATTATTAATATGTTGTATTTTAACCTGCCTAGGTAGTGTTGGGCTGATTGCTATTATTATTATTTGGTTTGATTTTTTGCTAAACCCAGACTGAAAGGATGCATTGCCTGTAATCAATTAAGAATGAATTCCCTTACTGAATAGTCCTTTGCAAGGTTCTGGAAATACATTACCACAGTTTTTTCTGAAAGGTGTATACAGGTTTATACTGCCACCAGCTAAGTATGGCTAGAAAGTGGCTTGGTGGCTATGAATTTAGGTTTTATGATTCAAGTGTTCGATGTCATTAGGTTCTAAAAACTAGTGATATTTCCCTCTACAAAAGAAAAAATACAAAAAAGTCCTCAATGGCCAGGAGGGCCTCCATCACACTGTCATAGCCTCCCAGTACTGGGAGGCTGCTGCCAACTATTTCTGCTATGACCATTCCTGTTACGTGGTGTTTTCTTACCTTAAAAATTCTTTCTTCCTTCTGACTTAAGAAACATTTTTTTTTATTATGCTATTTTCTACGTGTATTAATATCCAACCTAACCTTTGTGTATTGATTATAATATTTTGATCCTCAGAATTTTGGGAGTGTCTTTCTGCCTGTACTAACATTTGGCTTTCATACTGCAGGTGCTTTTGTTGTTGGAGGTGTACTGGTAAAGATCAAAACTGTTTTGGTTTGGGTTGGGTGTGAGTGTTACTTGTGAGATTTAACTCAGCAAAGGACCGTAGTTAATCACCTGCTGTATGCTGTTCATTTAGGGTAAGACAAAGGTTTCTACTGCTATAGGGAGCTGCCTAAGACATGCTGTAGGCATATTACAGGATACTTTTACGTGTCCAAAAACAGTGTTTTCAGCATTGAGGACCAATATGAAGCACTTCTTACCTGTTGGAATAAAGGGGGAGATCCTCTTCTTAGGAAAGGAACCATGTAGTGATGTGAACTACCGTTAGTCCTGCATTATAGGGAGAAAGCAGCCTCAGCAGGACTAAATTCCAGATTGAGAATGAAAGGCTGCTTTAGAGCTGTGCTGTCTCATACGGCCTCTGTGCAGTCCAGTGCAGTAGCTACTAGTT